AATTGTATGTATAATTTATAATTAAAAAAATCTGAAATTATTAATACAAAATTTCATTTTATGATTTTAACTCGTTGTAAATGATAGCGACTTTGAAGGTGGTAGGATGACAGGTAGAAGGACACAAGACTGGACACGTAATCGAAGTCCATTAAATTTCATCATTGACACGTTCTCAATTAAGATACCGATCCTCTTTTACTTTTCAAGATATCCTTCACAATTGGTTTAATAATTTTTTTTTTGCTTTTTGTTTTGTTGTTTTTTTTGTTTTCAACCTACGCATGACGTTAAATTTCAATTTACCACGACATTTGGTGATATTTAGTAATAAAAATTACTAATTTAATAATTGTGAAAGTTTAGTAGAAATAAAAAGCGAATGCGATTATCGTTTAGCTTAACATCAGTCTAATTTCTTGTATTATTTTAAAACACATGCAATGACCAGTCATACTTAACATTATGCTATGACACAATACATAATTGCAGCGCAGAAATATGCATCTCTTGACGTCAAATTTGATACGGTATTCGTTAAATTATTTATTCTCAGCATTAGAAATTATTCCGTGAATAAGTCATTAAATATAATTTGAACCATAAAAATATTAGTACTGTATTATTTTCTACAATAAAAATTTATTTGGAAAACATTTGGAATTTTTTCTTTAATATTCAATTGGTATTGCTGAATAGTTGTGAAAAATATTTTCAAAAGAAACATAAATAAATAAATAAATAAATAAAGATATAAAGAAATGTAAAATTTTGATTACAATAAAATTACAAATTTTATTTTATAATAAAACTGACGTGCGATAGATTGAATCGAGCTTGTAAATATAATTACAAGTGACAAATTTCGATTTAAATTTTGAAATTTTATCCATGTCTAAACAGCGTCACATTGTCAAATAAGCAACATGATTTTCTATTCAAAACCGTCACTAAAATTAATTATTTATCAAAGTTAAAAGTTATTGATATTCGATTAAAAATACCATGTCACATACGTAATTTATGCTTAAATCCCTTATAAATAAATAAATCTATATGCACGTTTTAGCTTAAGAATAAAATAGATTTTACAATAAGACTTGATTTAATGAATTCATATATTCAGCATTTTAACTTTTCACAATCTATATTCTCTTTGTAAACGTTAATTGAAAAATACATAAAATACCTACGAAAGCTACTTTTATTAGGATAATTATTTTGGAACCGGGAAATACAACGGAAAAGCATGCAAATAGTTCATGAAATTTAAATAACAATTACATTTTAGAAAGGTCCTCATAAAATATATAAAATAAGACATGAGAAACGGATATATTTCTACATGTAGTGTAGGAGCAATAAAAAAGATTAATAATAATAATACATTCAGTAAAAAAGCAATCGTTCATTAATTGTAATAAAAAAAAAAAAAAAAAAAAAAAAAAAAAAAGAAAAGAAAAATCTCAGCCAGATCAACAAGATAAGTCGCATAATTTATTCTTGTAAAGAAGATATTTATTTATACGCAAATGATATTTTAAAATAGATTTTTATCTTATATATATATATATAAATATTGTCGAGACTCGATGACTAAGGAGAGATGCAGAATGTTCAGTCAGACGCATCGATACCATTACTTTGCCAATTTCATCAATCATAATGCGGATGCGAATCATGCTTTTTTTACAATCACTTATGCCAAAATTTCATCTAAATATTTTTCCATCCAGATATTTTGAATTTTAATCGACAGTTGATTTATGATCGATCCGACCCTTCTATTATCTCCTACTCCTTAATATGCTTTTCGACGAAAATCGTTTTCTTTATGTCAATATAGGTTTTGTTCGATTTACAAAAGCATGAATTTTTATTTTATATTTTTAAATTTAAACGCGTATTTGCCCTATCATTGGCATTTCTTTCAAGTCATTATATTTGTAGCATATTAATTAGAAAGTACATGTTGATATAGTGAATGTTTTATTATGAATGTAACTACTGTTTAATTCTCAATTGAAAATCGCTCATAAATTTTATAACCACAATAGGTAATATATTTAAGACGATAAAATAATTAAAAAAAAAAAAAAAAAAAAAAAAAAATAAATTTCATGTACGCATGTATGTATTGTTGATTAGCGTCATGGTGATTCAGTTAAAAATTTGCTTTCACATTTAGATAAAATGATTCACTTAAGTTTTATCACTTAAAGATAGGTGCTATTTGTATTTTGATATCGTATCCTATAATTTATATTTCAAAAATAAAATCTCATCGCAAGTACGATAAAAATATTAATGATAAGTATGAGAATGAATTTTCTTTCAAAAGCTATTGACAAACATTAAACTGAATAGAAGTTTTCGAGTAAAATTGCAGTTACGATCAATAGAACATTTTCTCATTCATTCGCTTAGTAACGATTATTCATTCCATTCACCAAATTGGCAGTGAAAAAATTTATTGACTAACTAAGTCAGTATATGTTTTCCCATTTCCTAGATACCCAACAATAACATTGCTTTATTCTTTCAATACTCAACGTCTTTTTTGGCTTTTACAATATTCGTAATGGTTTGTAATAAAATGACGCGTCAGTTTCATGGGCACATCTACTCTTCCTTTTTTTCATTTCATGCACTACCTCGAGATGGAAAGATTTACCTTTAAGGCCACATACGTGCTCGACAGCTTGACAGGTACAATTGATTTGCCAGATCCTTTTCGGATGCTGTATTGTATTTATGTCGGTAAGCGTAGTTGGGTCACACACTCTGAGTCGAGTGATTAATTAATCAATGGTGGTATTTCTTGGATTGCTCGTGTCGTTTCACATCATTTATTTATCCTTATTTAAAGAGATGGTGTGCTTGTGAATATTTTATGAGCTTTTAAACTGCTTATTTTTACTGCTGATGCGCACTGCTTATAGAGAAGAAAGAAAGGAAGATTAAATTTTTATAAGACATCGATTCAATTTTTATATAATAGTTATAAAAAGATAGTAATATTGAAAATAGACTTAATATTAAATTTTTATATTATATTAAAAGATTTTATATTTATAGTATTACGTGTCCTGTCATTATTTATTTTCAAATTATATAAAATTTTTTCAATAAAATAGATTTGATTCTGCATAAAGTATTGGATAGAATTATATTACGATTTAAATATCATGGGTAATGCAATAATTTTTCGAAAAATATTATATTTTAAAATAATACAAATTTTATCTATCTGATGGTATATTACATTAGCGACACTTTTATTAGTGATGCTGCTGGACATTTTATTGATTATAAAATAAAAGATTGATTATAATCACTATGATTTATAATTGCATTAAAATATAAGAAAATATATTGTATGCGTGGAACTTGATTTTATTATATTGATTTCAATATATTAACCTCGGTATTAAGTTATATTAAATCAATATTTAGTACATTCAAAGCAATTGAATTATAAGAAAAGGGAATAATAAAAGGAAGATATTAAGTTTTCAATTATAAATATTTTAAGAATTTGTGTTAATTTTTTCTAATTAGTTGATTACATTAATTTATTTAATAAATTTATTATTTCTATTAAGATTTGATATATGATATACATTTTTCATATATTTTATCTAACAAATTTAATTTGAATTTGAAACAAATACGATTTGACTAATCTGCAATTTGTAAACACGTACAAATGTCAAATGAACGTTGAGTTTTTGCGTATATTTTTGTGTAATATCCGTTAAAAGCTTATTTTCACTAAGTAGAAATATGAAACAATACTTTTTTTTCACTTTGGATTTTGTGAAATCAATAGATTGCGATTAAAACCTCTTTGGGGACCTACGAGCCAATTCATTTTTTGCAAGCTAAGATACGGAACGTAAAAAGATACTACTGGGCAATGAAATTATTGAAAGTGTCACGTAAAAACTAATATATAGGAAAAAGAAATACATAAATTTCTTTTGAATTATAAATTGGATATACTAATAATATTTCATATATATTTTTCTTTCAGAGAAAGTGTAGATTCATATACGTATCATTAATTTTATTATCAGTAAATAAGGATTTCTTTACATAATTTATTGATTAATTTAGAAATAAATTGTTAAAAAAAATAAATTCTTATAGATATTAGAAGATATATGAAAATACAGAAATTCTCGAAAATATATGAACATTCTATTTCTACTGTTGGGTATTGAGGAAAAGTGTTGGTAAAAAATATTGTAAAAAAAAAAAAAAAAAAAAAAAAAAAAAAAAAAAAAAAAAAAAAAAAAAAAAAACCAGTAAAACCTTGTAAATGATTATTAGTACAAGAATTATATATTTGAGGAAATACATATAAAAATTACAATAGATTGAACGATTAGTTCAAGTTCAAAAGTAAATAGTAACATGTATTATTTCAAAAATTAAAAAAAAAAATTGGTTCGATGTGCATACAAAACGTATTTACTGAAAGAGTCTCACAGGTGAAGTACGATTGAAGTAAACTGAAGTGTTCTATTATTGTATTGTTATAAATGCTAAGTAGCAAATTTTTTGTTTTAACAAATGAAATTATGAAAATAACTAAAAACAACTATATTATATATAAATTCGAGGGTGATGAAACTCGTTAGTAATAAAATGTTATAAATTCGTTAGAAAAAAAATGATATAAAATAGAAATATATATATATATATATATATATATATATATATATATATATATATATATCGATAGATGTTTCTTCTCATTTGGAAATTAACAAAACTAGTCTTTTAAATATTAAAACTCATCATTGAAAACATTTTACAATTGAAATTTATTTCATAAAATTTCTATACAATATTATTGTTTAATTTAGTTTCATAATAATTTTTTTTATACGAATGTATTTATTTTCTTCAATAAAAGTTTATTATCACATATTATAATTACTTACCATTATTTTAATACAAAATATTTTATGAGGGATTTTTTTTTATTTTAGGTATTGCGGCTACTTTTGTTCCAGGTCACTGCGGAGAAAAGGTTAGTTTACATAAATATGTATGACTTCGTCATATGTGTAAAAATAAATTTTTCAATATTGATGGAAATATATATTTTATACATCGATTAATTATCAAAAAACTAATAACCTAAATGCAAACTTTAATTTGGTTATTCTAGTTATATGATGTTGCAAACGTAATGTTAAAAAAAAAGAAAGTAAGAAAACACATAAACAATAATACAGATTGTCCACTTATATATATAAAATAATATGTAAGATTGAATTAAATTAAATCTTATAATTCGAATACAAATTTCATGGATATACACTGATATATTAATAATTTTATAATTACATAAACACAAAAATAAATAAAAACAAATAATGACATAAAAACAAATAATAAGTTTTAGTAACAACGTCTTTTATTATTTTTTATTAGATAATATTATTTTTTGTACAATCGTAAGACTTGTGATAAAAAAAAATTATGTTTCTAATTGTATTAAAAGTATTCTGCTGTATATAAATTATAATATTCTAAACTTTATCATTGACTATTAGTAAATGCGTTTCATTTTATTAAACTAATGATACAATTGTGAAATATGACATTTAGATTTAAGTTCATTTATAAATGAATCAAAGTAATAGTTTTAAATTTTTTATGTGATTGAAATATTCCTAATCGAATTTTAATTCTTTCATAAATAAAATATTTTATTAGAATAAAAATTAATTTATACGTGTAAAACATGGTATTTTAAAAGCTAAAACGAATAAAATAAATAATTTCGATGTTCCGTACAGTCGATGACGATAATAAGAACTAAGTAAGAGAAAAATTTTGATTTCATTTAAGATTAATTTTTTTTACTCGAAATTTTTTACTTTTCAATATTAAAAAATGAAAAATGAAATGTCTAGTATTAGCTTCGTATATTTCAAGAAAGCTCAAACATTGAAATAAAAGGGTTGAATTAGATTAAAAGTAAATATAGTTTTTCGCATTGATATAGCAATCTATTTTCAAAATATGTATTTTGAATTGAAATTAATTTGATGTTATGATCAATACTACTATTTTTTTTTTTTATTTATATATATGTTCATATTATAAATTCTTATTATATATTATTTATGAGACATGTTTTTCTTACAATATGTATTTATTATATTTTGAAAAATTTTAAATATAAATCAATAGTATAAATTAATTAAATTGTTGGTAATCTTTCTAATTCAGCTTTTTTTTTTAACCCGTATAGTAAATAATATAGTCTTTAAAGTCTTCTCACTCCATAATTTTCTACACAGGCATATATAGACACATAAGAGACACATAAGATACACACACAGAGACAAACACGCACGCACACAGACACAAACACGTATATATGTATATATATATATATATATATATATATATATATATATATATATATATATATGTATTGGTACCATGGTTTGAACAATATATTATTTAATATACGTATGCATATTGTCGACGGTAAGTAAAATTTTTAAAGATATCAATTATTTGGCCAGGATACGAACGAAAAATCGAAGAAATATTATAGAAAGACGTACGTCTCTCTTTTTAATAGATTGCATCCCTCAAATAGTTATTTTATTTTTTTACTGAAATTTTAACGTTGCTATTCTTGGTTCTTTATCATTGAGCAGATTTTATAAATTATATTTGCAAGTACTGATAATTATTTTATATGTATTTTATTTAAAAACAACGTGATATTTATAAGATAAATAAGAGTATTATAATTCGTAAGGATCAATTTTTATTTAAAACACTGACCTTTCGATTATTGAAGTTTTAATAATTTTATGTCATAAAATTGAGTAGAAATTTTAAAAATTATTATTTGCTCAATAAAATCATATATAATTTTGTTTAAATATTTATCAATGTGTAATGTTATGCATGTTGGCTTGGAGTGTGTACATCCGCGCTATAGAAGTATTTTCAAAGAGTCAAAGAGAGAGGACGACGCAGAGGGAGAATGAGAGAGAGAGAGAGAGAGAGAGAGAGAGAGAGAGAGTGAGTGAATGAATGAATGCAAGAGAGAATAAGAGAGGAAAGCGCCAGAGCTTCCGGCGGCGTTCATCAGATTGGCAAGACAATGGGATATTTCATGATGCAATGGTATTATGGAATCGACGTACCATGGGCCCCCTCCCCCCGCCCCCTACTACTGCCACCGAATTCACGCGCACAGATACGAAATTTAGCAGGCCACGCAATTCCGTTTCTTTTTCCTGCTCACTTATGTACCAGCTCGACTCCATTCCTTACAATTTATATTATTCGTTTGCGGAAGTCACAATTATTATCACGCGTGAATTGTAATCTTAATAGCTGCTCTGTTAAGAACTGCTCGTGAAATTTCAAGTTCCTTAAATATACGGCGCAACTAATAATTGAAACATTGTATAAGTGGATTTATTTGCCTATTTTACGGTTTTTAATTTTTATCTGTTTGGTCTAGTTTTTCCGCAGATGCTGAATATGATTTTTACGCGCGTAATATTATAAAGTTGAAAAAGGAAGGGAAAATAGTTGCGAGGCTAAATTATTAAAAGTCCTTCAATATCCAAATAGTTATTTGCCATTATAATTTAAATCTTTTAATTGTGATATGTATGTATATATGTATATAAAAAATCTTTTATAATCGTTTGCAAAGCTTAACCAATGGTTTGGTAGAGTACAATATTTTCAATTTAAACTAAGTATAACAATTAGATTTTATAGATATTTGATATTTGATATTTTATCCTGTAATCTTGGCATGTAAAATTATTATTACTAAGTATTATTACTATGATATTATGATATTATCCATTGATTGCAAGTATTGATTTTTGCAATTTTAACCTTAATTTATATAATGCAAAGCGATTTCAAGAATAGTTTATCAAGTCACTTTTAATTATCTTAAATTCAATATCCAATCGATTATTGGTTGAAACTAAATAAAATATGAGCTCGTCAGTGTAAAATAATCGTAAAAACTATTTTCACTCGGCTGGAAAATCAATGTTTCCGTCAACAAATTTGATAAAAATGTTTTACAATAAGCATGGAAAAAAAAAAATTAATAAAAGCAGAGGGGCAATTAATTGCTAATAATTAAAGTTTATTACTATTTACAAAGATTCCATGTGCTACTTGCACAACAAATTATGGCTCGAGAATTACATGGTTACCGATAAAGATATAAAGCACCACGAGGCTTTTGATTGCTTTAGAGCAGAGTCAATTAAATTCGGAAATGACCCGCAGATAAAGAGCTTCGCCATTATCTCATAGTCCTGCGTATATGTGCGTGCAGTACATCGCGGAAGCGTATTCTCGAGGACGTTAAAATCACTTCCTACATTTTACTCAGCTCATTAAAGAGGCGTGGGTACGCCTCGGCTCATCCTCATCGGTCTGTTACGTGTTAAACCTTTCTCCTATGACTCTCTTCCACAGCTTATTTCTTGCTTTGTTTTAAAGTTTATCCTTATTTTACCTCGGATCAAATTCGACATTGCAACAATGTTATTAAAGAACCAATTGAATTGTAAGATTTTGTTTTATTGTTTAGCCTAGCAAGAAATGGAAAATTAGCTTAAAATACGTTGCTTGCAAATTTAATGTATTCTCATAAACACTCGAACAATGTTATTATATGCACTGATAAAATCACCGAGTAATTACTAGCTATTCATATATTGTTTATTAATTATTATTATATTAGTAATTATTATGAAATGGAAAATATGAAACTAGCAAAAATACACAATATACATCCGATCGAACATTAAATGTCTCATTCTTCATGTTTGTATCATGTTTTTTACTTTCTATGTATTCTGCAGGCACGGAACATTTTTTTATATATTGAAACGAAATGTGCAATTATTAATTGCAAACTAATTGTGTGGATCGTTAATTGTAATGTATGAGAAAAAAATTATTTTAATAAAGAATATATTTTGTAGCCCTATTTTCCGTTAGTATATTGAAAAAATTTTCAACACATACTATATACCTACACTTTAAAACATTAATACTAATAAATTGTTTCATTAGAAATGCATTTAAATTGCATAAAAAAAAAAAAAAATCATTTTCTTTATAATTAATTCTATCTTGTTAGATTATGATAGCTTATGATAGCTATTAGGAATTACAGTGTCTTGCATTAGAATTTTGATAATTATGTTGGTTATTATGCATGATTAATATTATAATTAAGTTGAGAACATAACTATCAACTATTTACAATTACTTGAAATAAAAAAATTATTATTAGTTTTGCTAAGATATCTTCATATATTATATTAATTAAAGCCCAACATTAGTCATATACAAATAAACTTTATAGCATTACAGCTGCTGTACAGGCTTTTCTTTATCCTTTTGAGATAATCGCAAGTTTTCGTTACTTCAAAAGCTGAAAATCTATGTGAAGGAATATGTATTGTACGCTACTATCAGTAATTTTATCTTACAACAATAGCATCTGGAATGAATTGTACAATTTTTGTCATCTATAAAAGTAAAGGAGAAAGGATTTTAGTAATTACTTATTTTTAGTAATTAAATTTACTTATTACTCAATTACCTGTATTTAGTAATTAAATATTTTATCATTGCCATTCCTTTTATATCGATTATAACGATTTGACTATGTTTTGTACATAATATAATAGAATTTTATGTAATAATACATATTTATAGAATAGTCGTATTGATTTAAGCAATATCAGATGATTTTTCATTCATTACACGATGCTTTGTAACGCACTTTCGAACTTGGTATTTTATTATCTTGATGCTACGCAATCTTATGTAGAAGATAGCATAATAAAATATTAAATAAATCATTGGGATTTCGATATTATGTTTGATTTTAAAATTCAAAATAAAATTTCGTTTAGATATAAAAAATAGAACGTTCGTTATTCGGTTAAAGATTTTAATGAAAATTTGAATATTTTCCCGACAATCATCGAATTTCAATAA